TGACCACAAAACCCCGTCCTGCGTTCCCTTCACGTCTGTAATGATTTCTTTTGCTTGTAAACGTGTTAATGGCCTGGACCTCAGAGTCTGATCTGCCTGTGCTATACACTGCAAAAAATGTCAACATGAGGTAAGAAATGCTTGAATCGAAGAGTTTTTATCTTAGTTTGAGTCGATTCTGAGTTTGAATTAAAACAAGATTTGCCAAAAAGCTATTTCGTCTTCCCAAGAACTGTTGCTTTATTTTCTCATTCCAACATTTTATTATTTTTGAAACAAGATCATTTTGTTCATAAGGCATTCAGAATGTGCTCAAATTATCATACATTTAGCCATTTTTTTAAAAGCATTTTTTGACTTATTTTTCCTGACTTTTTGCAGTGTGTCCCGGTCTCACTCAGATCAAGCAGCTCTCGTCGTTCTTCAGACCAACACAAGGCTGAGGAGGAGCAGACACTTCCTGTTTATAAGTCTTTTCTGAACCCTTTGATAGTTTCCTCAACCTTTTCGTGGATCACTTTAGGAGTCACTATATCTACTCAAAGCTTGGAACTGAAATCTACCTCAGTGGAGCATCTCTATCACTTGGTTTTAGGCCCTTTTTTACCATCAAACTGCACCTCAACCATTTGGTAAAGGCCAATAATAAAACTATAAAAAAATGGTTCAAAAAGAAAAGAAAAGAAAAAACGTAAAAACAAATTACTTGTGATATTAGTGCTCCTACATCTTTCAATTTAATTTATTTAAGGGATACTTTATTTTGTCTCACAGTGAGGAAATATCAGTGTTGCGTCAGCGGTTACAACATACAATAAGTGAAGTTTAACTAGCATAAGTCTAACATCTCTAGCTTTAGCATATTAAAGAAGCAGATCTAAAATCTTCACCGTTTAACTCAGTTTGAGAGATGATAATTTACTTCTTGTCTGTGGTTTTGTATCTGTATCTGTGCATGAAAAGAGTTGAGTTTGAGCCAAGTACAAAAGAACCGATGCCCTTTACCAGATTTAGCTTCAGCTGCTGTTCCAGCTGCAGTCCCCGAACGCAAACTGATGAATGTTTCAAGAGCACTTTCACCAACACAAAAACACAAGTAAAATAGCGAACAATTATTATGCATTTGTTTTACATTGGACCATAGTCAAAGTTATTATCCAACATATCTGTATCACTGCCTTTGTATTACTGTGGGGACGAGTAATACAATTCATCCTTCTGCTCACCTTGGTTCAACATGTGATCCATTTTGTTTCTATTGTTAGCCAATGCTAGTTTGCGATATCCATTATTTCATTCTAAAAATACAAACTCAGAACATGCAGCTACTTCCATGACTTTGTGAGAGTCAGAAGTGAAAGTAGTGTGTGTTTGGACATGAACTATCCTGTGCTGGAGCTGGTGTTGTTTGCGATAAGTCCCATGTGTCCTTCTTGCTCTGACAGTCCCATTATTAGGTCTATCCGCAGCACATAGACAGTAAACGCTGGGTCCCCACACGTCCAGCATGATGGAGCCCCTGCCTCCTGTTCCCTGCACCTCCTATAATAGCATGTATCACGATTACGCTGGAGAAACCGCACCTCCCTTTGTCTTCCTCCTATCTCTCCAACTCGGGCTCGGCTCTCATTTGTGGATGGAGCTTTGTCCTCCCGGCCATTTTCTTTCCAGCCGTCTCCTCCTTACAGCTCTCTCTATACCTCTTTTGTAGTTACAAGTCATGCAGAAAATAACTGAAATACTTCAAGAATGTCTGGAAGACGAAATGAAATCTGTGATACACTTGGGATTCAGGCAAGAGAAAATAGCAACCCTCTTTGAACCAATAGTCCACCTATGCGGGCTTTGAGGCGGTACATCTCCTGGTTTAGCTGTGAATGACAAATATGAACAAATCTGAATCTTTACTGCGTTTAGAAATGTCTCCAATAGAAGCCGACACAGTATACACTTAAGGAAGGAGGATTTGTAGTCTTAAGCAAGCAATAATTATAGTAATAAAATAATGCATCGGTTTTAAAAGGCACTTTTTTGGACAATCAAAGACGCTTCAGATGTCATTGCTCTGTCACTCCATATAAACTACTACTGTAGCCACACCTGCCCTGGGGCACACAGACAGAAGCGAGGCAACCAGTATGACCACCAAAAACATGTATTAATCAGAATTCAAGCACAAGTATGAAAAAGTGTTTATGTGTGACCCTGTGTAAGGCACTTTGAGTAAGAAAATGGTTTATTGAATAGCCGCTTCTATTGGACACGTTCTAACACACACACACACACAATCGAACACACACACACACACAATCGAACACACGCACACACATACACACACACGATAAATAATAGGTAAAACCATGAAAAGAAAGAAGGCCATAGGATGTTGATCTATACAATTCCCTGGCTTCCCACACACACATTTCTCTATATTTTTCCTGAATCTTACTAAATGACTTATTTTGGTTAATCAATGTATTAGTCCTGTATCTCACCACAGAGTTTCAGTGTTCATTGCTTTGTCTGTCTCAAACCACATTTCTGAAAAACTCTGGCAACAACTGTTAACTTTTTCCAAGCTCGCCAAATATATCCAAGTAAAATGTGCGAAAGGGCAACTACTTTTACTGAAAACACGATTCAATTAAGCCTGTGACAAATCTCGAAGAGCATACAAAACCAGATAAAGCAGCAAACGTATGGTGCTGAGGTGAAATAGATCCATCACCGCCAAAACAATCCTCCTCGACAGCTGTTCCTTGTTCTAATAAGTTGATCCGTGCTTGTACTATTTGTTCAGTCTGGCGTCCCTTCTGACTCGACTTGCTACGAAATCCAATGTTTTGTGCTTTTCTAAATGCTGTGAAAACAACACATATTCCCTCTACGTCCCTGATGTCTCCACCACAGAAAGCCTCGCACAATAGAAACCTGATTCTGCTCTAGGTTTCTGGCTGACAAACACCACACACTGTGAATATGTTTGTCTGACAGGTGGCAAGCTGCGCATTACACACAATGTCGGATAAAGCCCTCTGTTTCCTCCCTCCCTCTCCTTTCGCTTTAGAGCACGGGGCTCCCCACTGCATGCAGCAAAACGTACATACAGTATAGGATTTTCACTTAGAGGCTTCTGTCCGACACAACTTCATGACATAAGGTGTAGATTGGAATCTCCATCTAAAGCATTTCTACAAAGGCTGTTAAATCTTAATGTATGGAGCAGAGGTGTTGATGATATAAGTCATTTATTGCCAGCAGAAAGTGGCAGATGAATTATCTCCTGTAGCATTTATCTTTCGTAAATGCCATTCTGCCGGAGGTTGTCTTTATTGACATTAAACTGATATTTATAGAGCGTTGAGAAGGTTGTGGAGTAAAAGTGTAATCATGAGAAATCCCCAGTGCTGCACTTAAAGCTGCGGGGCGTGGCAAGAAGATCAAAAACAAGTTCATTTAGGTGGCTGCATATTTTAGCTGCAGACGCCACCTCCTCGTCCCCCTTGATTTGTTTTCGCTATTATGTGCTTCACCTTCACCTTGTTGTGTTGCTGATTTTTGCGTATGTGTTTTGGTTTTAGAGCTTGCTTCTCTTGCCCTGCGTGTACTGTATACTCCAACAACATCATATAACTATAGCTATAACTACTTTAGCAGGACAAGTCAGACGAAAACTTTTGTGGCTTGTGTGCACCCTGTACTGAAGTCCTTAGTCCTGCTCCTGCCCCTCAGTGTCCTCTGCAGCTGTGTTTTACAGTGCATGCACGGCTTTTGACAGCTGCAGCAGCACTCAGACCTACAACCACTACAGTTTCTCTATGATCAGAATTCAGCAGAGTTCAGATGGTTAGAAAAGTGTGTACAAAGTGTGTGGTGAGTGGTTTTACAGAATTAAAACACAGAGCTGCTTCTTGTGGGTTATTTTTTGTTACGAGGGACCACTGCACATCATTTGAAGTGTTCCACAAAAAAATGTCTTCAATTTACTAATATCTGCACACACGTCAGCTCGCCTCTGCACACTTGGCTTGTAACTAAATTAGAAAATATTTTCAATGCCAGACTGTAGTATCTTCCAGAAATAACCCCTTTAATATAACTGTAAATAGTTTTTCTGTTGTGCAAATATTTGAAATAAACAATGAAAAAAAAATTAAGAAATCAATTAATAATTTTCTCATTTATTTTTAAGACATAAAATAAAACACATTAGAATTAAAGAAAAAAAAAGTGTTTTAACTATAAAATACTATACAAAATCTATTAGTAGCTAAAGCTTGACAATACAAATACAGAGGTGGAAAAAACAAAGCCTACTTTATGATACACTGATCTGGATCAGAAAGAAAGTTCTTGTTCTAATTATGAATCTACATAAATGAGTTTAAAATTCACGAGAGTGCAACCAAAGAACCAAATGTTTTATCCAGTTGGCTAGTTTTCATTATTTTGTTCTAAATCTTGGGAAAGCAGCCCCCCAAACTCCCATATCTCTCATGATTCCTCCCATATAGCTGATGAATCATAATTTGTTGGCGAAACAAATGCCAGGACTGATGTCAATTTAATGACCAGAGGACATTTTGACACTTGCCGTTGGATTTCACAGTTCCCATCAGCAGCTATTAAAGCCAATTGCCTCAAATTAAATTCATCAATGTCCAAAAAATGACGTTCTGGAGAAATGTGTCGCTGCAAGATAATAAGTCATCCCTCCAAAACACAATCATTTATAGCAGAAAGAGAATATTTCATCTCTGCTTGGTTTGGATCAGCTAAATGACTTTTTCAAAACGTCCCCGATCTGAACAGAGATTCGTTGACGTGGCAGCCCTCATTCTCTCTTGGATCTGGTTTCTTATAGACACACACAGTTGCAGCTCTAAATCATCTGAGCCTCCCTGAGAGTGCTATTTGGGGCAGCGGTCCCATGACGACACACACATTGTCAAGACATTTCCCTCGGTGTATTTCTTTCCCTTATAAGAAAATGCAAAAGGCTAGAGCATGGTAGACTGTGAGGGGAAGCGCTTCTCCAGCTCCTCCACAATTGAGTTCATATTTGGGTTAGGTTCAATTTTTGGAGTCATTTGATCCTCTATCGCACCTTCTGAGTTTCCGTCCTGGTTCCCGACAACCCCATTTGCAGAATCTTCTCCTTCGCCACCTTTCGAAAGGTTCAACACATCTACAGAGTCCAGGGAGTCGAGCGAATCTATGGACGCCCTGTTTCTGATCACTTTCTTTAGCGGGATCTGCTTTTGGTCGATTTGGCTGAGCATGTTGGCCACGGACTTCTCGATCTCTGCGATGTTTTGGATGTTCTTCAAGATTCCTTTGAGTTCTTTGCGCGGGGCTTCTGGTTCCGTGGGGAGCGGGGGCGGAGGGATCTGGCGGAGGGACACAGGACGCAAGGTTGGCGCTTCGGCGAGGGACGGCAGGACGAAGGTGGAGGGGCGCCGGAGGGAAGGGGACAGAGGGGGAGGAGGGGGAGGCAGTGGTGGAGGAGGTGGAGGAGAAGGAGTTGGAGTGGAGGGGAGAGGCGGGGCTTGCCGCTTTGTCTGGTTTGGCGTGGATGTCGGAGGTGGGGAAGTGGGCGCGGGGACTGGGGGTGGGGTTGTTGATGGCGGGGGAGGAAGAGGGAGTGGAGGAGGAGGTGGGGCGGTGGCGGGTGGAGGAGGTGGTGCAGGAGTGGGTGCAGGGGTGGTTGGAGGAGGTGGTGCAGGGGTGGGTGGAGGAGGTGGCACAGTGTTAGGTGGAGGAGGTGGTGTGAGGTTGATTGGGGGAGGTGGCACAATTTTGGCTGGAGATGGTGGTGCTGTGTAGAGTGGAAGAGGTGGCGCAGTATTGGGCGGAGGAGGTGGTGCAGTTTTAGGCGGAGGAGGTGGTGGAGGCGACGTGGGAGGTGGGGGTGGAGGAGTAGTGGGAGGATCGGGGATGACCTCTAGCTGAAGTTTCAAACGTTCCTCAAAACCTGGAGAGAGAATTGCCCCATATCGTCTCAGCACCGGCGGAGTTGGTTTATGGCTGGGTGGAGGTGATCCTGGGTCGCTAAGGGTTACGATGATGCTAGGTGGACCGAGACTGTGAGTTGGCGTGGCAAATTTATGATGCTGCGGAGAATCCGGAAGATCTGAAAGCAAAAAATCTGGCGACAACGACCCTCTCGAATCTCGCGTTTGCCGCCGTTTTTGCTTAGCCTGTTGCTCGAACTGCCGCGCCTGCTCTCTCACCGTCAGTTTTGGTTCTAGACTTTCGCTGCCTAATATATCAGAGTCCAATCCGTGCTCAAATCCAGAATCCAATCCGTGCTCAAATCCAGAATCTAATCCGTGCTCAAATCCAGAATCCAATCCGGCCTCTTTGCTCTCTGCCTTGAGTAGCTCCAGCTCCCACTGCACAGGATCCATGACCACTTGACGCCTCAGAGCATCGTACATGTCTTTTCGGTGGAATCTACTCGGGAGGGTCCAGCTGTGAGCGCCTCCGGACCCCCACCCATTATCACCGTAGCCTCCATTTCCAACATCTCCGCCTGAACTCAGCCTCAACCACGCATCTCTCAGACCATTCCTCGTTGGAGAAAAATCCCCAAGCATGTCCTCCCCCCTCTGGTTTTTCCCGCACATTTCAGGACTACTGAGGGTCCCGTCTTCGTGGTATATCGGGTTCTTGATGGTCAACGGGTTCTCGTCGGAGAGACAGGTGATGTTGGACTCGGACTTGGGAAGGTTGTTGAGACGGTTGCCGTTGGCGAGGCACTGTTTATGAGCGGCGATGGCGCGGGTGGCGAAGTCGGAGAGCAGACGCTGGCGATCGCACTCATCCAGGCTGCCTGCACTGCCGTGGTTTGAGCGACTGAGAGGTGGACACAAAATGAGAGGACAGAGTGAAGGGAAATGGCATGCAAAATAAAATGAAAGAACGCTACACCAATAAGGCAGGACATTATGAGTCCTGGCAGACTGAAACTTTAGTGTTACTGACGTTAGCTATTCTAAGATCACAGGGACTGGCCTCCTGCAGGGGCCCAGAGTCAGGACTAAACATGGGAAGGCATTGGTAAGTTTGTGTAAGCCCTCAGTCGTACAGGGATTAGTCAAAGCAAAGGAAGGTATCTCACCCATCATCTGTACTTCTTAGCAAGTTTACCCGACGTTTCGTCCTCAATCCTAAGGACTTCTTCAGGGAATGAATTCTCAGACCGCGCGTTGGAGATTTATAACCTATGGGTGTGGCTCGAGAGAAGAATTGGTTTGAGAGAGGGGTGAAAGAAGCCATTTTTGTGAGGAAACAAAAACCTTGTCTTAACAGAGGAGGAGGGTTAAGATTTGTTTTGCCTCGCATCTATGACGACATCCTAAAAACAACGCCCTAACTTGGGACAAGGTCAGTGACATGCTAATGAGTTAGGGTCGTTAGACCGGTTCCCTTCTACATCAAACAGACCTTAGATTGTTTATGAGTTAGTATCAGGATTAGGGTGTGGCTAACCACACCCATAGGTTATAAATCTCCAACGCGCGGTCTGAGAATTCATTCCCTGAAGAAGTCCTTAGGATTGAGGAAGAAATGTCGGGTAAACTTGCTAAGAAGTACAGATGATGGGTGAGAAACCTTCCTTTGCTATGGGGAGGCATTGTTTCAAAATTAGTCTTCCTGAAAATGTGAGACAAGCTTCTACTCTGACAGTGTTCAAATCCAGGATAAAAAGAGTTCAGTTAAGCTGCATACAACTTTTTAATGTACTGTGATTGTTTATTATTTGTTCGGCACTTTGAATGCCTAATCAAGTAGTTGTTCCGAAAGATCCCAAAGATCAATAAACATAGGATTTTGGAGCTTAAGTGATTCCCCTGGAGAACATATTCATAGAGTTGTTACATATATTGGTTTGGGATTGAAAATGGTTCTTTCATTAGAGGATTATGGGATAGTTAAAACCTCTCTCAACATGTTTAAGTCCATGGAAGGTTAAAAAAAAAACACTTTCTTGTTGTTGATTTCAAAGAGGTGGTATAGCAACATTTAAGTACAATGGTAAATTTGCTGCCGGCCTGAAGGGATAAAGAATGTGTGAAATATTTATAATTCTTTGCAGCAGGTGGTCTTTATGTTCTGCCTGATTGGTGCATTAACATGACGAACATGAACATGGATAAAGAAAAACTACACTAACAGGTTTTAACAAATAAATCACAGCGGCCAGTCACATAAAGTTAAAGGAGATTAAACAAGAAAGGAAACAAATGGAGCGTTTTTTAGACAAATCAAACATATTTCACGTTACAAGACAAATAGGGACTAAAATAAAAGGAAATAGATGGGGTTGGAGGTAATTTGTGTTGTTTAGATGGAGATAGAACACTAATACCATCAGTTTAAATGACAAGGGAGGGAAAACAAGTGAATTCGACATTCGTAAGAAATGATATCCAACAAGAATAAGACTTGGAGAAATGTTGCGGTGGCTTGGAACTGGCACATGCTGAGGGGGAAAGTGGATTGGTTTTCTACTACATACAGATACTAATTGGTCTCATGGTAATGCGTCTTGGCTCGGGCATCAAAGTTACGTCACAAAACAATGCTATTCCACAAAACAATTTTCTGCTGAACTACCGACATAAGCCAAAGAAATCCCACTCACTTTTGCCTGTCATTCACAGATAAGACACAGATGATGAAGAGAAAGAGGAAAAACAGAGAAAACAAACATATCAATCAAAGTGTTCGAGTGAAAACAATGAAATGCTGTTTAGGTGGAGGCAGAAGTCTTACGAGGCTTTTTGTGCCGTGTGACAAGGCTCTAGCCCTGATCCATACTGGAATGGCTGAGCACAAATGATGTTTTACTTCATTACACTACATCATTTGGATGATACACAGTCCCCTCCGGCGGATCATCAGATATAAAGCCGATACTACTGTCCAAATGGGCTGAGGCTTTTAATATTCTGCACTTTCCTTGTAACTTAGTGTAATGTTCGCCAGTCTGCCGCTTCAATAGAAATATCAACCTCTTCCCCTGCATCCCCGCTATTGTCAAAAAAAACGACGGACGTGTCTTGTTACAGATATAAGACCACGCATTCAAGTGTTCAAAATCAATCAACATTTAATTCTCTTTACAATTAAATGTTAATACAAAATTCTCGGAGCTCCTATTTCCCTAACTAGCCCTATGAGCTGAGCCAATGTAACTCTCCCTCCAGGCCTGAAAAGGAGAGAGGACGACCAGGCGCTCTGAGAAGTCCCCTCTCTCTATCCAAGCTCAGACTGCTCTACAAAATGTCCTACCAACAGTTTTATGAAAATGTCTAGAAGAATATGAAGTGCCTCCGAATACGTCATCTGGATCTCTTCCAATCCCTTGAGTCTAGTCTGGTCTGGTTTTGGGTCTCATTCCTTGGACCGATAAGAGAGGCATGCTCGATCTGTTCCTAAAAGGATACTATGTCACAGAAACCAGCCTTGTCCTTGAATCTTCCCTGAATTCATTAAACTCAGGCTAAACATTATACAAAAGGCTTTTTATTTTCATAGATGTTGATACATGGATGACAGAAAATAGAAATGTATGCATTTCTGAAATATGCAACACCGTTCACCAGCGAAGACGGGGCAATAACCTCCACAGGTAAAGAAAACAAATAGGAGTCTACCACAGACCCCATGGGTGTGATAGGGTTAGGGACCCCATGGGTGTCTGTGATAGGAGCAAATATTAAAAACATTGATTGGAGAATACAACTGTTTTTAGTTCTACCGAGGACCTCATCATTTTCTTGATGGAAAGTTTAGCTTTCAGCTCATGTTTTGCATCTGTGCTTGTATTTCTGTATTATATTATGTAGGTTGCAAATGATTGCTTGCAAATTATTTTCTGAACAAAATATTACATGCTTTTGAACTGGACCAAAGAAAAGAAGTCTTTTTCAACAACAAGACAAAACATTATTAATCATTGCAGTTCAATGTTTATAATGAAGCAAATTTACATGTTTTCTCAATAAAATGAAGTAAAACATGTCATGGTAAACCTTGGTATATTTATTTTTGCAAGTTCATGTTAATATTTGGAAATTTCAAGTTCCCACAGTAATACCCCCTGGTAGGGGCAGTAACGCAAGGAAACGGAAGGAAATGAACGGGTTCACATGAGAAAGACAAACTCAGAATGTGAATATTCTGAGATGGTCTTTTTAAAAATAAAATATCTCTCCATAACATCGGCCTATAGATAGACCTACACAACAGTAATAGTGGGATAGAAACGCATTTGTTGATAAAGGACGAATTTTACATATTTTCTACCAGACTTTTCTCATGGAATGTACAGATTATAGGATAGGATCAACCATTTTAATGAGGAAATTACGACTTATTCCTTGGTTATTGCCTTGTTATATGTCTGAAAAGATTATTGCTTTGCCTGGAACGTGTCATGGTGTGGACTTTGTTATCCCATCTGTTGTCTCACCTTTTTGAGTTCTCCTTCCTGTCTCTCTGACTGTCCTCCTCGCCCTAATGTGATTCACTTTTGTCTCTCTGTGTGTCTAGCCCTGTGCTTTTCCCCGCCCATTGTCAATCCCACGTTTGTCCCTGGCTTGTTTTTAGTTCTGGGTTCAGGGTTTTTTTCCCCCTGAATTTGGTTTTATTTCATTCATTTACACTTTATTTTCAGTCACTGTGGGTTCCTTTCTTTCAGTTCACCTCAGGCCAGAAAGCTCGATACCACGGCATGAACTGGCATAAACGCATTAAACAGAGGCACTAAATAGCTCCAAATGTAGATTAATGTACGTTTTATGCCACGTGGAACAATCCAGGCGAAGCTGCACCATCACAGACACCCACAAAGACGGCGATCATGGATGTACAGTCGGATAAGTTCAATATTTTACGGCACTTTTGGCATCGATAAAACAGAAACTGCTTTTCACAGACCGCGCTCCACAACAATTACACATGCACTGAGGCTTATCTGTGAAATTAATAATTGCCTGGGGGAGGTCTTCATAAATCTGTGGCTACATTTATTTCAATTATCTGGGATTGTGAAATATTCTTGCTTCCAGTTTTTCCAGGCGACGGATCACGGCGAAACCTCCAACACACACACACACACGTGGACTTTGGGGCGGATGCCGTCGAAATCCCACAGTTGTCGGTTGGAGAGATAGCCGCTGCCATCTTGCATACGAATTGCACTTATGTTAATCAGGAGAGCGGGGAAGCCATATCAAGGACAGACAGGAAACCAGCGATGCATGTAATACCGATAAGAGTCCCAACTTCTTTGCAGCTCTCGGCAGGAAATGAGAAATTAACAAAGTGAGCATTGCCCTGAGTGGGTGTGTTAAATGCTTAGTGAAAATTAATAGCGGTTCAATACGACTCTAGCTTCACCAAACTTAATGAAAACGGCAATTCGAGATGTGATTTCTCGGGCGCACAGAAGCAGGCTGAGGCACGGAAGCATTTGCATGGGTCGATAATTGGTACAAGAGTCGATATTTTAGGAATGTAGTTTGATTTGACTTCTGCGACGGGCGTGCCGCCGTGTTCTTGGCAAAGGTCAGGTTCTGTCAATAATCGCACAAGGGAGATAAAAGTAGGCAGATCGAGCGGCTGTGGAATCTTAATCGTTTGAGGTCATCTCCGTGGAGGAGTCAGAATTATGGGAGGAAAGAAGTTAGAATTTATCTTTTTGGTTTAAAGCTTGGTTTCTTCACCGGCATATATTACTGTGTATCTCAATCACAACACAAGGAAAAAGCCCAGAGAGTCACGATTTGACTCTTTGGGTTGAGAGCTGATTGGCTGAGTGAAGGTGGTCTCTCTTTTACAGGCCTGTAAAACGAGAGATAGAACCAAACACTTTCTGAGAGTAAGTTGGATAGATTTTATGACATAGTTCAAAATGTTGTGGTTTAAAAGTTGGGTATCTCAGCGTTAACAAAAACCTGCTCTTCAGGTGAAACCCGGAAAATTAGAAAATCATTCAAATGTTCCTTCCATCCATCCATCCATCCATCCATTTTCTTCCGCTTTATCCGTTGCCGGGTCGCGGGGGCAGCAGTCTAAGCAGAGACGCCCAGACTTCCCTATCCACACACACCTCCTCCAGCTCGTCCGGGGGGACCCCAAGGCGTTCCCAGGCCAGCTGAGAGACATAGTCTCTCCAGCGTGTCCTGGGTCTTCCCCGGGGCCTCCTCCCGGTGGGACGTGCCCGGAACACCTCCCCAGGAAGGCGTCCAGGAGGCATCCTGAACAGATGGCCGAGCCACCTCAACTGGTTCCTCTCGACGTGGAGAAGCAGCGGCTCTACTCCGAGCTCCTCCCGTGTGACCGAGCTCCTCACCCTATCTCTAAGGGAGCACCCAGCCACTCTGCGGAGGAAGCTCATTTCGACCGCTTGTATCCGCGATCTCGTTCTTTCGGTCATTACCCAAAGCTCATGACCATAGGTGAGGGAGGGAACGAAGATTGACCGGTAAATCGAGAGCTTCGCCTTTCGGCTCAGCTCCCTCTTTACCACAACGGTCCGATACAGCGACCGCATCACTGCGCACGCTGCACCGATCCGCCTGTCAATCTCACGCTCCATCCTCCCCTCACTCGTGAACAAGACCCCGAGATACTTGAACTCCTCCACTTGAGGAAGGACCTCTCCACCCACCTGAAGAGGGCAAGGCACCTTTTTCCGGTCGAGCACCATGGCCTCGGATTTGGAGGTGCTGATTCTCATCCCAGCCGCTTCGCACTCGGCTGCAAACCGTCCCAGTGCATGCTGCAGGTCCTGGTTCGTTGGAGCCAGCAGGACGACATCATCCGCAAAAAGTAGAGATGAAATCCTGTGGTTCCCGAACCGGACCCCCTCCGGCCCCTGGCTGCGCCTAGGAACACGCTCAAATGTTCCTTTATTTCAGTAATTCAACTCAAAATGGGGAATCAATATATGCCAGCGACATGCAATATGCCAAGCCTTTAATTGTGGCTTAAAGTTCATTTTCAAAAGATGTTATTTTCGGTTTACAAGCTGCTAGCCGGTTAGCAACGCCCAAAGGCTCGATATCTCTGTCTTTGCGAGTAATAAGTTTGTTGTGTATTATTCACATTGTTAAAAAAGTTAATCGACCTTAATCGGATAATGCTCTAATTTCCAGAGTTTCACCAACACTTTCTTCTAAAGAATTCCTTCCAGATGGAACAAGAGGAGACAAGGCTTTTTATATGATTTGTATCAATGTGCATGAGAACAGAGACGTCATCACTTGAGATATTAATGACACTTAAAGCTGCACTAACTGACTTTATTTTTGTATTCATTATGAAAATGCTATCCATGTCCATGTAGTGCATTGGGATATACGTCCTTTTGAAGAATAATTAGCGCAGATTTGTGCTGGCGTGACATTATATTTTAGATCGAGTTTTGATGAAACAAGGAAGAGAATGTGTTTCGGGTCGCAGATTGTGACCAATCACAACGGACCACTGGCCCCCACTTTCGTGAGAAATCTACAGGTCCCTGTTAGCATAGACAGCTGAGTTAGCACAACAAGCCGAGGAGCTAACCTGAAGCTTCGTGTCTTCATCACCGGTGACTGCTTACACAGCGAAACAGCCATCCAAAAGAAAGTCCCATTCCTCCGCGCTTCCCGGTTCTACCGTTCTATGGTCACGCCATCCACGTGAAAATCCATATCCATGTATTATCCATATTGGGAGACACTAGCTCCGTCCCAACAGTGGGTGTGTGCGGGGGGCGATAGCTTCGTGGGTGCGGGGAGGGGAGCAAAAAGAGAGAGGCCAGCGAGTCCACGGCTTCAAAATCCCAAAGTCAGTTAGTGCAGCTTTAAGATATAGATACTGTAGTAACAATGTGGGTCAGAACAAATACATCAGTTCTTACAGTTACAGGTGCAACACAGGACAAACATACCCGGGTCAGATTCCACGTTTTACAGACGTGTCATGCCTTCATTGACAAAAAGTAAACATTGGTTTTTACGTAGCTCAATTTAAGTTTGTATTTCTTTGTCGAGAAAGAGGACCCAAACTTTAAACTATATTTTTACAGCAGACTTGTGTTTTATTGGTGTTATGTGTACGATGTGCAGCTCTGACATGCAGCTCCTATCCCCCCCTGACCCAGAAATGGATTAAGGGGAAGAGAATGAATGGATGGCCTTGGTTTTTTTTTTTTACCCCTGTCAACCCCGGGGTACAGCAGTGGGAAAAGTTGATGTGTTGTTTGGACCCGAGTTGCTTTTTTACCACGGCTAAGACCGACACTTCACATGTTTGCGTTTTTGCCCAGTGCGAATGAGGTTCATCATAAGCGTTTTAAGGGGCTCAGGTTGGCACAATCAAACGAGAAGATTTGAATGGACCATTAGTACAGTAATAACAGCAATTATGATTTGAGGAAATTCATTATGTATAAGATTTGAGAGGGTTTAGTGGTTTTAAAGCAATTCTCATTTTCTATAATCTCACTATAAAACTCGTCCAGTATTTGTGCGTTTCATTTGAACTAAAGGTCACGCTCGGACGTCTTATATTTTTGTCCGTTCCCGTCGCTGTCGTGTACAACTTAATGAAAGCTCTCACTAAGGAAATGCTGCGTATTTACAAAGGGAGGATATAATTTGGGTCCAATCTCTGGCGATATTTGAAAGGCGAGGACATTGGTATGCATTACAAGCGCCGGGCTGACAGACAGAGAGCTGAACGCCACTGAACTTTGAGGAGATAAAATTGCCGGGTTTATCTAGAAGTGTTAATGTGTTTCCTAAATCAGAGCTGTGTTTAGTGCTGTTGTGACGGCGGCTGCGAGACCGCCTTTGATTCATGTGAGATTGTTTCGTTTATTTGGACCCGCAGTGTCCTTTTCACCGGCGGAAATGTAAATAGTGCGAGAATATGATCTAGCCGCGCCAAAAAGTCACTTCGCTGGAACAAAGGGCTACACGTTTAGCTCGGGGGCATTTTGTCTGTGGTTTTTCTCCTTTGTAATGCACTAACTTCAGGTAAAAGTCAAGGTTAGACTTAGTCATTATCACACAGTGCGAGAATATGAAAAAAACTACAATCCTTTTGTTATTGATACCATCGACTAATGTCTAAATGCACATTATTGTAAGTAAGTAAGTAAGTAATCTTTATTTATATACCGCCTTTTCACTGCACATCGGAGTCTCAAAGCGGTTTACAATTGTTATTTTTGGGAGTGGGGGTGCCAGTACAGGAGGCACATGCCAGACCTATTGTACATATTTTTAGTGGTAGGGGAAACCGGAGCACCCGGAGGAAACCTACGCAGACACGGGGAGAACATGCAAACTCCACTCAGAAAGGCCCTGGTCCAACCGGGATTTGAACCCAGGACCTTCTTGCTGAGAGGCGAGAGTGCTATCCACTCAGCCACCGTGCCAATTATTGCTCAACAATTGCAATAAATCTAAATGAAGCTATTGTTTTGGTCCATTTATTATAAAACCCATGAATAGGCATCATATGAATACCATTCGCTAAAAAAAAAATATTTATATTAATTGCTATTTGATTAGGAAATTGCGCTTATTTGCGTTCGACTTAAGTATAAAAATAAAATGTAGAAAATTTACCAGGAACAACATTATTCAGCATAAACCAAAACACAATTGGACGCAAGAGATTGAGACGGATATTGGGTGTTACTTTTGTCTATATTAAAACATACTACTCTCAATGTTTTACTGTTTATAATCCAGAACCATAAACATAGAAAATCATTACCGTCTATAGGGCTAGAAATGAATCTATTTTACAATATTTGCTTCTCGGATTTTCTACACCGTCTCACAATCCCCGTGTTTTGATCCAAGCCAAATATAAACACAGCGGAGAATTTTCTGCCGGTTTTCACAAGATCATCTGTTGCTCATGTGTGCGCACAATCTCGAACCGCTACATATGTATAAAAGAAGTGTTATGAGAGACACTCAGAGAACATTTGTCCCTCCCACTGTTTGCGTTCATCTGCCCCTGACTTCACACGGCTCACACACAATACACACATTACACACAATACACACTTTACACATGTATGAAAGGGATTCTTCTGCTTGGTTTTGTTTTAGGACTAGTCTGCAGTATTAGGACCAGTCTGAAGTATTAATCAGGGGGATTAATCTACTGTTATTTTGACTT